ATACAGGGGACCCGCATCACGAAAAGGTAAGTTGTAACCCTTGCGGGGATTGTCGGCTTGCTTTACAACTTACCTTTTCATGGAGCGGGTCCGGTGTCACCCCATGCGGTTGGTGTCACTCGGTGCGACGCACACCCCCCCCCTGCACCTGCCTAGGGACGCTCCTGTCCGAAGAGACATGCACAAAAATGTTTCTCGTACGATACCAGATCCTACGATTTTCTTTTAATCAGTAAAGTAGTCGTCCGATAATACAATACAAATACAATACAATACGTGACATCGCTTTCCAAATTCTTTTCTTTCATAGGAGAATTCTTGTATCTTTAGTAACCTTTTCACTTTCAATGTGAGACTAGCGGGCGAAAAAAAAAAAAGCGGGCGATCGTCCGTCCAATACTCTCATGGTGTGTGCGGGACTTTAGTGAATAAGGTGAACTCACTTCAATCACCTAATAATGTGCCATCGGATTTTATTAAAATGAAATGTAAAGATGGCGAAAAGTGCTTTAACCCCCTTGAAGCAGGAGCCTCCCGGCCCTTTAAGAGGTTTCAGAAGCCGGGAGGCGGGCGGGGTTTTAGGGTCATGTGACCGCCGTGATTTGCCGTCGCGGTGGTCACATGATCGGAAAAGGTCCCGATCGAAAGGGGAGATCGGGACCTTTCCGGGAGTTGCGAACATATGCGCAGGGCGCGTGCTCTCAGCACATATGTATTTTCTAAATACACTCAAATATGCGGCAGCTCGGAGGCCACATATTTTGAGTGGGATCAGCGTCAAGGGGTTAAATAACCTGAACAACATTGTATCATTGCTGCCATTGTGCGGAAAAATGGATACATCTCGTGACATTTGTATCATATATTGCGTGACAAAATAATAATAAAAAAAAATGATACTTCTGGTGACATTTGTGTTCTCTTTTGTGTAGTAATAATAAAAAATAATAATAATAAAAGTGATACATTTTGTTACATTTGTGTTCCCTTTTGTGTAATATATAATAATAATAATAAAAATGATACGTGACATTTGTGTTCCCTTTTTGCGTAATATAATAATAATAAATAATATAATAATAAAAAATGATACTTCTGGTGACATTTGTGTTCTCTTTTGTGTAGTAATAATAATAATAATAATAATAATAAAAAAGTGATACATTTTGTTACATTTGTGTTCCCTTTTGTGTAATATAATAATAATAATAATAATAATAAAAAATTATACTTCTGTGACATTTGTGTTCCCTTTTGTGTAGTAATAAATAATAATAATGATACATTTTGTTACATTTGTGTTCCCTTTTGTGTAATATAATAATAATAATAATAATAATAGTGATACTTCTGGTGACATTTGTGTTCCTTTTGTGTAATATAATAATAATAAAAGTGATACTTTCTGGTGACATTTGTGTTTCTCTCTTTTGTGTAGTAATAATAATAATAATAATAATAATAATAATAATAAATAAAAAGTGATACATTTTGTTACTTTTGTGTTCCCTTTTGTGTAATATAATAATAATAATAATAATAATAAAAGTGATACTTCTGGTGACATTTGTGTTCCCTTTTGTGTAATATAATAATAATAATAATAATAATAATAATAAAAGTGATACTTATTTGGTGACATTTGTGTTCCTTTTGTGTAATATAATAATAATAATAAAATAATAAAAGTGATACTTCTGGTGACATTTGTGTTCTCTTTTGTGTAGTAATAATAATAATAATAATAATAAAAAAAAAGTGATACAAACATTTGTGTTCCCTTTTGTGTAATATAATAATAATAATAATAATAATAATAATAATAGTGTTTCCATTTTGTGTTCCTTTTGTGTAATATAATAATAATAATAAAAATGATACTTCTGGTGACATTTGTGTTCCCTTTGTGTAGTAATAATAATAATAATAATAATAATAAAAAAATAAAAAGTGATACATTTTGTTACTTTTGTGTTCCCTTTTGTGTAATATAATAATAATAATAATAATAATAATAAAATAAAAGTGATACTTCTGGTGACATTTGTGTTCCCTTTTGTGTAATGTAATATAATAATAATAATAATAATAATAATAATAAAAGTGATACTTTTGGTGACATTTGTGTTCCTTTTGTGTAATAAATAATAATAATAATAATAATTAAAGTGATACTTCTGGTGACATTTGTGTTCTCTTTTGTGTAGACAATAATAATAATAAAAAAAAAGTGATACATTTTGTTTACTTTTGTGTTAAAATTGTGTAATATAATAATAATAATAATAATAATAAAATAATAAAAGTGATACATTCTGGTGACATTTGTGTTCCCTTTGTGTAATATAATAATAATAATAATAATAATAATAAAAAAGTGATACTTTTGGTGACATTTGTGTTCCCTTTTGTGTAATATAATAATATAATAATAATAATAAATTGTGTTCTCTTTTGTGTAGTAAGTGATACTTCTGGTGACATTTGTGTTCCCTTTTGTGTAATAATAATAATAATAATAATAAATAAAAGTGATACTTCTGTGACATTTGTGTTCCCTTTTGTGTAATAATAATAATAATAATAAATAATAAAAGTGATACTTCTGGTGACATTTGTGTTATATAATAATAATAATAATAATAATAATAATAAAAGTGATACTTCTGGTGACATTTGTGTTCCCTTTTGTGTAATATAATAATAAAAGTGATACATTTGTGTTCGTTACATTTGTATGCCACGTGGTGCAATGTAATAATAATTGATAACCGATACATCGGGTTACATTTGTTTCTTCCATTCAGTGTCATAATAATAAAAGCGATACAATTGAAGGAAATATTTTCTTTTGCACTTTTTTTTTTTTGGTTTTGTATCCCATTTGTCCCAATTCTTGAAATACTTGTCAGTGATTGCAGAACGGCGACATAAGAGGAGGGCTGGAATAATCCACAGATAAATGAGGAATTGTTCTCTGTGAAGAACGATCAGCTGGAAGCCACATGGTGTTCTTGTGATTCTTATGTTACAAATTGCCGGTTACAAATTCTTTATGCGGAGGGCTGCGCGGGTGTATGACCCCCCCCCCCCCAGTAATTATGAGATCATTCACACTGACCAGCATGTGGGTGGAATTATTATTCTTTCTTTGAAATTTCAGATACTTATATAGCGCCTTCAAATTATGCAGCACTTTACATATATACAGGGGCGTATTTACCATAAGGCAAACAAGGCATTTGCCTAGGGCGGCATTTTTTCAGGGGGCAGCATTGGCCTCTGGAAGAAGGTACATATGCGGCATGGGGACCAGGTGGGATGTGAGAGAGGCTGCGGGCTGATTGATGGTGTATGCAGAGCCCGACTGTCTTTCCTGGGGATGGCCAAAGCTGTGAAGGTGAGTGTCTCCCTGTCGCCGGTGGGGAGGGGTGTTAGTGGAAGGTTCTCTTAGGTGGGAGGAGACAGGGCAGGAGTGTTGGTCATTGTACTAGCACAACCCCCCCAAAAAAAAATTCCCCTTCCTACCCCTCAAAAAATCCCCCCCCCCAAAGTTTCCCTCCCAGCACAAATACCCCTTAATCTTCTCTACTAGCACAACCTTCCCCCCAAAAAAGTCCCCCTCCTAGCACAAATCCTCTCCCCCTTAAACCCCTCCCCCCAAAGTTCACCTCCTAGCACAAATACCCCCCAATCAACCCTACTAGCACAAATCCTCCCACCCAAAAAAAACCCCTCCTAGCACAAATCCTCTACCCCTCAAAAATCCCCCCCAAAGTTCCCCTCTTAGCACAAATTTCCCCCCAATCATCCCTACTAGCACAACCCCTACAAAATCTTCCCAAAAGTTCCCCTCCTAGCATAACTGTCCCCCCAGTCATCCCTACTAGCACAACCCCCCCCCCCCAAAAAAAAAAAAAACTCCCCTGCTAGCACAAATCCTCTACCCAAAAATCCCCCCCAAAGTTCCCCTCCTAGCGTTAATAACCCCAATCATCCCTGCTAGCACAAATCCCCCCCAAATTTTCCCCTCCTAGCACAAATCCTCTACCCCTCAACCCCCCCCCCAAAGGTCTCCTCCTAGCACAAATACCCCCCAAATCATCCCTACTAGCAGAACCCCCCTATGAAAATCCCTCTCCTAGCACAAATCCTCTCCCCATTAAACAATCCCACCCAAAGTTCCTCTCCTAGCACAAATACCCCCCAATCATTCCTACTAGCACAAATCATCCCCCCCCCCAAAAAAAATCACCCTCCTATAGACAAATCCTCTACCCCTCAAAAATCCCCCTAAAGTTCCCCTCCTAGCACAAATATCCCCCCAATCATCCCTACTAGCACAACCCCCCCCAAAAAAAATTCCCCCTAGCACAAATCCTCAACCCGTCAAAAATCCCCCCAAAGTTCCCCTCCTAGCAAGAATACCACCAATCATCCCTACTAGCACAAATTCCCCCCCCCCCCCAAAAAAAAAAAAAAAATTCCCCCTCCTAGCACAAATCCTTTTCCCCTCAAAAATGAAAAATGGCGCTTCTGACGCGGACGCCCGCCGGTGTGCACCCCAATGCTTTCTCTGGCGTTCATTATTGCTCAGGGTTCAGCTGTAAGAGCGAAGCTGGTGCACTCCCCCAGATGGGAGGGGCCTGTCCTACAGGTAATTATATACACCGATGGCATCATGACGTCCTAATCCGGCAATTATTTCATGCAGATTGGAACATCAGGTTCCTGTAGGAGGAATCCCCAAATCCGAAACAGCTGACTGAGCAGGAGAAGACAAATCTGTTCAGCTTCACTGCAGAAGGAGCGTGGGGACAGTGTATGTTCAGTCTAGGGTGGAGCAACTCTGACCGTCTCCTGTACCATGTCTGCAGTCTCTGACCGTCTCCTGTACTATGTACGCAGTCTCTGACCATCTCCTGTACTGTGTCTGCAGTCTCTGACCGTCTCCTGTACTATGTCTGCAGTCTCTGACCATCTCCTGTACTATGTCTGCAGTCTCTGGTCATCTCCTGTACTATGTCTGCAGTCTCTGACCATCCCCTGTACTATGTCTGCAGTCTCTGGTCATCTCCTGTACTGTGTCTGCAGTCTCTGACCATCTCCTGTACTATGTCCGCAGTCTCTGACCATCTCCTGTACTATGTCCGCAGTCTCTGACCATCCCCTGTACTACGTCCGCAGTCTCTGACCATCTCCTGTACTATGTCTGCAGTCTCTGACCATCTCCTGTAGTATGTCTGCAGTCTCTGACCATCTCCTGTACTACGTCTGCAGTCTCTGACCGTCTCCTGTATGTGTCTGCAGTCTCTGACCATCTCCTGTACTATGTCTGCAGTCTCTGACCGTCTCCTGTACTATGCCTGCAGTCTCTGACCATCTTCTGTATCATGTCTGCAGTCTCTGACTGTCTCCTGTAGTGTGTCTGCAGTCTCTGACCATCTCCTGTACTATGTCTGCAGTCTCTGACCGTCTCCTGTGTCATGTCTGCAGTCTCTGACCGTCTCCTGTAGTGTGTCTGCAGTCTCTGACCATCTCCTGTACTATGTCTGTAGTCTATGACCATCTCCTGTAGTATGTCTGCAGTCTCTGGCCGTCTCCTGTACCGTGTCTGCAGTCTCTGACCATCTCCTGTACTATGTCCGCAGTCTCTGGTCATCTCCTGTACCGTGTCTGCAGTCTCTGGTCATCTCCTGTACTATGTCTGCAGTCTCTGGTCATCTCCTGTACTATGTCCGCAGTCTCTGGTCATCTCCTGTACTATGTCTGCAGTCTCTGACCGACCGTCTCCTGTACTGTGTCTGCAGTCTCTGACCGTCTCCTGTAGTATGTCTGCAGTCTCTGACCGTCTCCTGTACCATGTCTGCAGTCTCTGACCGTCTCCTGTACTATGTCTGCAGTCTCTGACCGTCTCCTGTACCGTGTCTGCAGTCTCTGACCGTCTCCTGTACTATGTCCGCAGTCTCTGGTCATCTCCTGTACCGTATCTGCATGTGTCTCTGGTCATCTCCTGTACTATGTCTGCAGTCTCTGGTCATCTCCTGTACTATGTCCGCAGTCTCTGGTCATCTCCTGTACTATGTCCGCAGTCTCTGGTCATCTCCTGTACTATGTCTGCAGTCTCTGACCGTCTCCTGTACTGTGTCCCTGCAGTCTCTGACCGTCTCCTGTAGTATGTCTGCAGTCTCTGACCGTCTCCTGTACTATGTCTGCAGTCTCTGACGTCTCCTGTACTATGTCTGCAGTCTCTGACCGTCTCCTGTACTATGTCTGCAGTCTCTGACCGTCTCCTGTACTATGTCTGCAGTCTCTGACCGTCTCCTGTAGTATGTCTGCAGTCTCTGACCGTCTCCTGTAGTATGTCGCAGTCTCTGACCGTCTCCTGTAGCATTACATGTATTGAATATTATGTGTGGCTTTATGGGGCTCTCAGCTGGCACATTGGGGGCCCCATATCCCTCATAAGTGGACATTCGCGGCTTTATACTCCATAATTATACTCATTTCGCTGGCAGTGATCCTGCAGCCAGCGGCCCTCAGAGCTCCACCATCTCTCCTTGGGCTCCAAAAAAAACCCCCCCCTCTTGAAAAAAAACGCAGCGCCGGTTGTGCCCTTGTCTCAGCGCCGGCCGTGGTGGGAAGAATACAGAAGCGTGGGATTTATCACAGCTGACATCTCCGCAGGACGTTTTCCTCGACACGCTACAGCACAAAATATGGAAATCGTCTTCAGCGTGTCACTTTCTGTTTGTTCCGCTTCGGTTGCTGGAAACTTCCGTCAAATATTTCAGCCTCAGATAAAACGTGCCGCGTCCTGCCTTTGAAATGAAATTCTGCAAAATCAAAAGGGCTTTTAATACGGCGCGCACCTCTCAGCGCGCTCCTCTGACTGCAAAACCGCCGCAACGCTTCATTCGAGACTTCAAAAGGCAAAAAAAAGACATTTTCTCTATTCCAAAAGACAACCTGCGAGGCTGGAGGGGGGAGGGGCTACCTAGAAAAAGCACCAGGATATGCGGCGGCTCAGTGGTTACAGAAACTGGGCCTTTTTAGAGGAGTTTGCTGGCCGCGGGCCTCCGTCCGAGATGTGCTGACAATAACGGGCCAACCGAACTTGAGAAAAAAAAAAAAAATTGCCCAGTATATGGAATTTTCTGGCCGGTTGCCGTTATTCCGCCGAGATAAAACCGACAACCAGGACTATGGTGCAGGGATCCGGTGTGCATGTCGATTCTGCGGTTTGGAGGAACGATTCTGTGACGTCATAACGTTTAATGTGAAGGCTCTGCGTTCACACTCATGTGGTGCATCTCCTGTACATCTGCAGTGGTGATTCGCTATGGGAACAGCGCCTGACATTCCTGTACTATGTCTGCAGTCTCTGACCATCTCCTGTACTTCGTCTGCAGTCTCTGACTGTCTCCTGTACATGTCTGCAGTCTCTGACCATCTCCTGTACTATGTCCGCAGTCTCTGACCATCTCCTGCACTATGTCCGCAGTCTCTGACCGTCTCCTGTACTGTGTCCGCAGTCTCTGATCATCTCCTGTACTATGTCTGCAGTCTCTGACTGTCTTCTGTATCATGTCCGCAGTCTCCGAGCATCTCCTGTAGTATGTCCGCAGTCTCTGACCATCTCCTGTACTATGTCTGCAGTCTCTGGTCATCTCCTGTACTATGTTTGCAGTCTCTGACTGTCTCCTGTATCATGTCTGCAGTCTCTGACCATCTCCTGTAGTATGTCTGCAGTCTCTGACCATCTCCTGTACTATGTCCGCAGTCTCCGGTCATCTCCTGTACTATGTTTGCAGTCTCTGACCATCTCCCCTACTATGTCTGCAGTGTCTGACCATCTCCTGTATAATGTCTGCAGTCTCTGACCATCTCCTGTACTATGTCCGCAGTCTCTGACCATCTCCTGTACTATGTCTGCAGTCTCTGACCATCTCCTGTATAATGTCTGCAGTCTCTGGTCATCTCCTGTATATGTCCTGCAGTCTCTGACCATCTCCTGTACTGTGTCCGCAGTCTCTGGTCATCTCCTGTACTGTGTCCGCAGTCTCTGACCATCTCCTGTACTGTGTCCGCAGTCTCTGACCATTTCCTGTACTGTGTCTGCAGTCTCTGACCATCTCCTGTACTATGTCTGCAGTCTCTGACCATCTCCTGTACTATGTCTGCAGTCTCTGGTCATCTCCTGTACTATGTCTGCAGTCTCTGACCATCTCCTGTACTATGTCTGCAGTCTCTGACCATCTCCTGTACTGTGTCCGCAGTCTCTGACTGTCTCCTATAGTATGTCTGCAGTCTCTGTCTGCATCGGAGTCGTACATTTTGTATGGCTCTAATCGCACTGCAGCTGCACCAAGAAGGTGCAGGACCCTTTTTTGGGTCGGCACTAGAATCGGATCTCACGGGTACTCACACCTATGTGATTCGATTCTGCACATCGCACCGCGTTTTGCGGATGGCTTTCAGGGTGTTGTTAACATCCACACCCGCAGCGGTTCGCATGCACGCGGTGCGATTCTCATGCGGTGCGGAATTTGCACTGAAAATGCTACAAATTCAGCACCTAATAATAATAACTATGTAGTAAAAGGGCCTGCTGATGGGGGGGGGGGGGTCCTCCTGTATGGGCACGCTGGGGGGCTGAGACAACAGGGGGGATCAGTCCAGCTGGATGGGGAGAGGGGGGGTACCACCGGTCCTCCTGTATGGGCACGCTGGGGGGCTGAGACAACAGGGGGGATCAGTCCAGCTGGATGGGGAGAGGGGGGGTACCACCGGTCCTCCTGTATGGGCACGCTGGGGGGCTGAGACAACAGGGGGGATCAGTCCAGCTGGATGGGGGAGGGGGAGTACCACCGGTCCTCCTGTATGGGCACGCTGGGGGGCTGAGACAACAGGGGGGATCAGTCCAGCTGGATGGGGGGGGGGGGGTACCACCGGTCCTCCTGTATGATCATGCTGGGGGGCTGAGACAACAGGGGGGATCAGTCCAGCTGGATGGGGGGAGGGGGGGTACCACCGGTCCTCCTGTATGGGCATGCTGGGGGGCTGAGACAACAGGGGGGATCAGTCCAGCTGGATGGGGAGAGGGGGGGTACCACCGGTCCTCCTGTATGGGCACGCTGGGGGGCTGAGACAACAGGGGGATCAGTCCAGCTGGATGGGGGGAGGGGGGTTACCACCGGTCCTCCTGTATGGGCACGCTGGGGGGCTGAGACAACAGGGGGATCAGTCTGGCTGGATGGGGGGGGGGGGTTGCAATTGCAGAACGATGCTCTGTGCGGCTCTCTGCAGTAGTTTCTCTCCCCCTCTTCCTTCTTCCAGCTCTCACCTGCTGGAGGGAGAGACATGGGACATTATTACCTGGCTGCTGCGGGGACACAGGGGGATGGAGAGTGGGGGAAGGGGGCCAGCAAATATGTCATTTACCGGCCCCTTCCCTTTCTGAATTGGGCACAGTGAGTGATCGGTACCAATCGCTTCTGTGTCCATTCATAACTGCAGCATGGTAAACTGCATGGACCCGGCACACATGTCCAGTCCGGTAAAAGCGATCTTGCAGAGGCAGCAACCAATCAGAGACAGTTTATCTTGGGAGGTATTTTTAAATTCTCTCACACAGGCATCAGGGGAGGGGCTGTGCAAAGAAGGCAGTTGAGCTGCGGTTTTACTATCCCCCAACCGCCCACCTAAAACCTAACATAGAGCTTGAGGGGGGCTATACATGGGGGGGGGGCAGTGCAAACAAGGCAGTTGAGCTGCAGTTTTTCAGTCCCCCATCTGCCCACCTAACATAGAGCTTGAGGGGGGCTGTACACATGAGGGGCAGGGCAGTGCAAACAAGGCAGTTGAGCTGCGGTTTTACTATCCCCCAACCGCCCAGCCTAAAACCTAACATAGAGCTTGAGGGGGCTGTACACATGGGGGGCAGGGCTTGAAGGCAGTTGAGCTGCAGTTTTACTATCCCCCAACTGCCCACACAGGGAAGCAGGGTACACAGGGGGGGGGCAGTGCAAACAAAGAAGTTGAGCTGCAGTTTTACTATCCCCCAACTGCCCACCTAAAACCTAACATAGAGCTTGAAGTGGGCTGTACACAGGTGGGGGGGGGGGGGGGGCATTGCAAACAAGAAAGTTGAGCTGCGGTTTTACTGTCCCCCAACCTCCAACCTAAAACCTAACATAGAGCTTGAGGGGGGCTATACATGGGGGGGCAGTGCAAACAAGGCAGTTGAGCTGCAGTTTTTCAGTCCCCCATCCCGCCCACCTAACACCTAACATAGAGCTTGAGGGGGGCTGTACACATGGGGGGCAGGGCAGTGCAAACAAGGCAGTTGAGCTGCGGTTTTACTATCCCCCAACCGCCCACCTAAAACCTAACCCAGAGCTTGAAGGGGGCTGTACACATCTGACGGAAGGTACTGCCTATGGAACATGCCATTCCAATCAAGGGGCCTGTGCTGCGATCTCACGGGGCATTAGTTCCATTCAAAATCTCAAAATTGCAAAAAGCAAAAAAATAAACCAGTTTAGGAGGTGGCAGCATCGCCCACAGAGGGAAGCCGCCTTCTATGAAGATCACACCGCAGATCGCTTTTTGGAGACGGTCGCAATGTCAGCTTCACCTTCCACTGGCTCAGTGGTCAGCACTTCTGCCCTTGCAGCAATGGGGTCTTTGGTTGGATTCCCAACCAGGACACCCTCTGCATGGAGTTTGACCGTTCCCCTTGTGAAGCTTGTACACACGCTGATAGGTCTGATTTGGCCCTAATATATTCGGGGACCTTCGATTGTAAGCAAATTGTTGGTGCGATATAAATATCTGTAATAAAAACATTCAAAATCACTCTGTGCCCCAATAAAGGCTGCTGATGAGTCCATCTGTGCCCCTACCTGGTACAGAGGAAAACATGAGCCGGTAGTGCAGTCAGCACCTCCGATGTGTGACAGTTGCTCCATAAATCCTCATTGTGTGAACAAAGTACAACTGTATGGGAGACGATGAATTAGGATGCCGATCGATCATCGGAACGTGTCAGCCGACAATGGCATTGCATTGGCAGCGGCCTACAGGACCAGCCGCTACTCTGGTATCCTGGGGATAGGCTGGCACAGCTTCCTGGCAAGCGGCTCGCCTTTTTTTGTGCGTCGGCAGAATGATAGAAATTGCGACCCGAACATCCCAAATACTACAGGGACGGCTTCAGAGAAAAGCGATCATTTAGGGGGAATTTTACTTTGTAAAATAAAGGATCAATCGGTCAAGCTGGAGGTCTTCTAAGGCCGCGTTTCTAAACTGGGGTGCCGCTCAGGTTCCCCTGGGGTGCCGCAAGAACGGGACCTGGATTAGCATTTTGAGTTGCCGTGTCGGAGAACAGCTGGCCACCAGCAACCTGACAGCCAATGAGGCTCTAAGGCAGAAGTGTCAAACTCCATTCCATGGTGGGCCCATATCAGCATTATGGTGGCCCTCAGAGGGCCGGTTGTATCTGTAAGACTAGACATCCAGAACACCCCCCCCCCCCCCATTACATCAGATGTCAAGAATCCCATGCCCCCCCTAACATCACCGTGCACCCCCTTTGGGACTGAGCTGGAAAGCAGAAAGTGCCGGGTCTGGAGGAGGACCAGAGGAGGAGAGGAGTCAGTTACCAGAGTCTGCTGAATGCTGAGACCAGGGGGAGGCAGAGATGAGGGGGTGCTGCAGGCTGCACTGAGAGGTGCAGGATTTGGCAGAGGAGTTCTATTCTCCTCTCTGCTGCCGACTGCTGAGACAAGGTGGGGGAGGAGACCAGGGGGTACCTGCAGGAGATGTGCAAGGGTCACATGAAATGGCCTGGAGGGCCGGATTCGGCCCGCGGGCCTTGTGTTCTAGAGCCAGGATGCACAATGTCATTTGTTGGTATGGTACTGGCAGCCAGCCAGCATTCAGGAGAGGATAGAAGTCCCCCTCCAGACCCATCCTGCTGGATTCTGATGTACAAACAGGACTCTGTGATTGGGGACTCTGTGTTGATGGGGGACTGTCATGTATAGAGAGGCCACTGACATGATGGGGGGTACTCTGACATGATGGGGGGTACTCTGACATGATGGGGGTACTCTGATATGCTGGGGGGTACTCTCTCTATATAAATATTCTCTTTCTCTCTCTCTCTCTCTCTCTCTCTCTCTCTCCTCCCTCTCTCTCTCCCCCCCTCTCTCATCTCTATCTATATTCTCTCTCTCCTCCTCTCTCTCTCTCTATATGTTCTATCTGTATATTCTCTCTCTCCCCCTCTGTATATATATATATATATATTTATTCTATTGTTCTACCTCCATACTCTCTCCACTCTCTCTCTCTCTCTCTCTCTCTCTCGCTCTCCCCCCCCCCCCCCCCCTCTGTGTATATATATATGTTCTATCTGCATACTCCCCCCTCTCTCTCTCTCTCTCTCTCTCTCGCTCCTCTGTATATATATATGTTCTATCTTACTCCCCCCCCCCTCTCTCTCTCTCTCTCTCTCTCACTCTCTCTCCCCCCCTCTGTATATATATATATATATATATATATATGTTCTATCTGTATATACTCCCCCCCCCCTCTCTCTCTCTCTCTCTCTCTCTCACTCTCTCCCCCCCTCTGTGTATATATATATATATATTTTTTTATCTGTTACTCTCCCCCCCTCTCTCCTCTGTATATATATATTTTCTATCTATATATTCTCTCTCTTTCTTTATATATATATATATATGTAACACCATGAATGGCTGTAACAGATTGCAACACACTGCAGCACATAGAATGACAAAAAATCAAGCACTGCAATTTTTTTAAACAACACTTTGCAGTGCACGGCAGCACACAGCAGCACAGGTTAACACGGCACACCAGCACATGTGCGTTACATGCACAATAATGCACACTATGGGGTGTAAATGAGCCCTTGGGGGGGGGACTCATTCACACCAGAAACTGTTGTTGAATGCACAATGTCATGCATGTCTTTTGAGATCACTTCTGTCTTCTTTGGGCTTTTATGAGATGCAGTGCATTTTTGAGCATTTGTATGCATTTGTGTGCAGAGAGAAATGCAGCTTGCTGTACTTTTTTTTCACCGCGCTGCACTGCAATAGCGTGAAGTATGCCAATAGGATAACCTGGATTTTTTTTTTCTATGCAGCTGAAGCGCAGTCATAAAAGCATCCCATTGCATTTGGTGTGAATTTTTTCCTTAGTGAACTTTTTTTTTTTTTTTTTTTTAAAAATTTTTTAGAAACGCAAATTTTTTTTCAATATAACGTGTAGGAAATCCACCAGTTTATTCTCAGATTTTTTTCCCAACGCATTTTTTGTAAAAAATGACATGGAAGTAAAGAAGGAAAAAAGGGGGGCAAGCGCTGCATTGTGTGCGGCACGTTCATTTTTTTCACACCAATGCACATGCGCTACG